ACGGGAAGTGTGAAAGGAGGAAGGGTACGGCGGGAGGGAGAAGGAGGAAAGGTGAGGGGGGATGGGTCGGGCAAGCTGGGGAGGATGAGGGGTATGGGGAGACAGATGAAACGGAATAATATGTTCGGAATGGGAGGCTGAGGAGGAGGGTGATATGGAGGAGGAATAGGAACAGGATAAGGAGGATGAGGACGATGACGAAGGCGGCGAGGAGAGGATGAGGATGCGGATAAGGAGGGCGATGAGGCGGAGGACGCTGAGGATGATGATGAGGAGGAGGGGGACGAAGTGTATGCATGAGTATCTATCTATCTATCTATCTATCGATCTATCTATCTATCTATCCATCGATCTATGAGAGAGCGCGTTTCACGGGCGCTTACCTTGGGAGCATTCGGCGGCGCGTTTCGAACCGCGGGATGCCCCCCCCCCTCAACATTCGGCGCCGTCGGTCAGAACCAGAGGGACTTCCTTCCCCCCTAACCCCCCCCCCATCCCCAACCCCCCCGCCTCCCAGGGGGGGGTGGGGTTAAAACCCCCCCCTCCCCCCCCCGCGCCGACGCTGGCGCTCGCGGCGGCCAGCAGCGCCGACGGCAGACGCAGCGACGATGACAGGAGAGGGCCAGGGGGGGGGGTTCAACCCCCCCCCGCCAGCAGCGCCGACGGCGGGAACGCAGCGACGATGACCAGAGATGGCCCAGAGGCCGCAGAGGGGAAGCATAAATCGCAGTATGCACCATCACAACCACCACCACCACCACCAACCACCACACCACCACCACCACTTCCACAACCACCACCACCACCACAGCCCACCACCACCACCACCACCTGACCCGAAGCCAAAACACGGTGGCGGGAAGACCCGACGGCCACAACACCACCACCACCGCCACCCACAAACCACCACACCACCACCACCACCATTATTACCGCCAACCCACCACCACCACCATCGCAACCATCACCACAAACCACTACACCACCACCAAAACGCCACCACCATCACCACAACCCACCACAACCCGCCACAACCACCACCACAACCATCACCACAAACCACTACACCACCACCAAAAACGCCACCACTACCATAACCCACCACAACCCACAACCACCACCACCATAAACCACCACACCACTACCACCATCACCACCACCACCGCCACCACCACCACCACCGCAACCCACCACCACCACCACCACCACCACCACCACCCCACCATAAACCACCGCACAACCACCACGAAAACCACCACCACCACCGCCACCACCCACCACATCTACCACCGCCACCAGCACCACCACCAGCAGCAACACCACCATCACCAACATCACAGTCCACCACCACCACCACCACCACAAACTACCACACCTCCACCACCACCGCCATCACCAAAACCACCATCATCACCACAACTCACCACCACCACAAACCACCACGCAACGACCACCACCGCAGCCACCACCACCACCACAACAACCCACCACCACCACCACCACCAGTCCCACAACAACCCACCAACACTACCACCACCACAATCTACCACACCACCACCACCACCGCCACAACCACCACCTCACCACCAGAACAACCTACCACCACCACCACCACACAACCACCACGCCACCACCACCACCGCCGCCACCACCACCGCCACCACCACCGGCAACACTACCACCACCCCAAACCACCACACCACAACCACCACCACCACCGCTACCACCACCGCCACCACCACCCACAACCACCACCACAAACCACCACCACAAACCACCACACCACCACCACCACCGCCACCACCACCACAACCACCAATTCAACCAGCACAACCCACAACCACCACCACCACCAGAAATGGCACCACCACCACAACCCACCACAACCCACCACAACCCACCACAACCCACCACAACCACCACGACCACCATCACCACCACAAACCACCACACCACTACCACTCACCACCACCCCCACCACTACCGCCACAACCCACCACCACCACAACCACCACCACACCACTACCACCACAACAACCCACCACCACTACCGCCACGATGATGATGATGATGATGATGATGATGATGATGATGATGATGATGATGATGATGATGATGATGAGGATGATGATGATGATGCTGATGCTGATGCTGATGCTGATGCTGATGCTGATGATGATGATGATGATGATGATGATGATGATGATGATGAGTTTACAGGCACGCCTGCGAAGCAGCTGGGGGTATGGAGGCCCTTCTGGCGCTGTGGCAGGACACCATTTCTTCGGCCACGGCGTGGCGGGTCGCAGTCAGCAAGCATTGCGATACCACCTGATAGTGGCTATGTGCTCATGTGCGTTTCATGCTCCGCATTTTGCTTGCTTGCTTGCTTGATTCCAGGTCGATGTATCCCCCTCCCCGAGCCGTCCCCCCCCCCTTCGATCGCTCCCGCTCCGATCTGATATAGCCAGGACCCCAGGTAAGGGGACCCGGTTAGTGGTGGGGCCCTGAATCCCCTAAATTGGCCAGAATCGCTAAACCAGGTCTGCCGTAGCTGGTGTTTTTTCGGGTGACGGCAGTTGGTTGGTGGAACGGGGCGGGGGGGCGTCCCCCAGCACACGACACTGAGCCAGGTCCCACGAGACCCGGTTCTGCCACCGCCCGATCCAAGGAGCCGCGGTGGGCGCGGCGGCGCGCCCAGGTCGAACCAGGTCCTGACCGACGACCACTGCCAGTTTTTCCTGTACCAGGCGGCGCGGACCGCCCGCACACCGAGCGGGGAAGTGATCGGCAGAATACGTCGTCGTCGTCGTCGTCGTCGTCGTCGTCGTCGTCGTCGTCGTCGTCGTGGTCGTCGTCGTCGTCGTCGTCGTCGTGGTCTTTCCGGGGGGTCTAACAATTTATGCCCAGAGGCTAGACCGAAACGTCAAACGATGCTTCTGGGGGGGTCTGGATTTTGGTGCGGTTGCACCGCCCGGGGTCCCACACGGGCTGTCAAACACTTTTTGACACCCCCCACTACTGTGAGATTTGAAGTGCCCGTCGGTCGTTGAAAGTCGGTATTTTTGGACTCCCAGATCCCAGTCTACTTTAGGCGCCTTCTTGCTTCAATGATCGAGCGTTTTCCCCTCTTCCTTCCTCTTCAGGGGGCGGGCGGAAGTCCACTCTGTTTTCACCGCCTTCCTACTTCATGCTTGTACCCACTTCTTCCGACCGACGGGCACTGCCAATACGCCGAAAGAGGGTCCACTTTGGGCTCTGGAGGGGCTTTGGTTTTCGGGCCGTTCCTTAGATCGGGGAGCCTGTTGCGAAGGCCTTACGGCTGGTGCCGCCAACCCTGAAGGGGAACGACGACGACGGCGACGGCGATGACGACGACGACGCTCACGCTCAGGAGCCGAAAGCTTCTCCCGGAGGGACGCTCCCGCGGAGGGGGGTGTCACAACCCTTCTCTCCCCCCCCTGTGCCTCCCCCGCCTCGCCCCCCCCCACCTCCCCCCCCCCCCCGGCGGGGTAGGGATCGAAGGGACGT